AGACCAAGCTTCAAAGGTTCCTCCTTGTATCACGGAAATGGGATCCTTGGACGCAACTAATTCCCAACTCTGCACTGTCTTTAACTGATTTCTCCTTTTAACTTATACAGAATTGCCATCCTGTAGTGTCTCTGCAAGATTGAAATAAAAACACAAAAGAATATTCTCTGGTTGCATATGTCCTCTGCCCTTCTTTTTCATCAGATTCGAAGAACAACCAAGGACACTTGACATATAACAATTTTAAAATATAAAAAAGGCTCTGCTGCCAATATATTTTGCTGCCTACCAAGTATATCATTAAGGCCTTCATGTAAAATTAAAACAAATAAATAAATAAAAAGAGGCTTGAAAAATTACATCGGATTAACGGAATCGAAAGACTAAAATATTGCTCATTAAATTTGAAAGCCATAAATACATCATCAATACCTTACAAAAAAATTCAACTTGGTACATCACTTCCGACTAGTTTATTGACTGATCAAGTTATTTCAAATACAACATTCCAATACAAACAAGGCAGACGTGCATGCCACCTGGGAGAAGGAGCTGTATTGTATAGTGGAGAGATCACATTAACCCACATGAACTGAATTCAATTGAGAGAAACATGGAAACCAAAAATTCAAACCTAAAAAAGTTTTCAAGCTTTGGCAGTCTTCTGATTTGGCTTGAACACATTCTTGATGAGAGATTCCTTGATGGATAAGAGTTCAGGGAATTCTTGCTTCAATTTCGTGGCATCAAGCTCATTGTTGCTCCTGGGAGCAACAATCACCTTTGCCTGCTCCTCAAGAGTAAAGTTCTTCCATGTGAAGCTGGGGTCAATGTATTCCTTATACATCTCCAAGATCTCATTGTGGCTGACCACTCCAGGGTTTGTGAAGTTATAGATTCCGGTGAGGTTTCTCTTCGCCATCTCGATCGAAATGGGGAGGAGTTCATCCAAGATCGTCATGGAGTTTGGAATGTCTACTACTTTCTCATATCGAGTGATCTTCGTGATGAAGTTACGTGGGTTGGATAAATCAGATGAAATCGGCATTCTAACACGCAAAGTACAGACATTCTCGAAATTGTTGAGCAGATCTTCCACCTTTCAAGTATCATCAAGTAGCCAAAATTAGTAATTGTCATCTTTCATGCTTTCTTGCAAAGATCTAAGACAATATGAAATCAAAACGCCACCTCGCGGTGAATACTATACAAGACATAAATAGAGATACAATGGTGCTATTTTTACTACAAATTTCACTTTTTTGGCACGTCACATGCACATTTCATAATTTTTTTCCACCCACCCAATGGTCCCAATCTGTGAAATATCATCAGGCTTATATAAATTGGCATCAAATATTTAAGCTTTTAGCAAAAACAAACATCTATAACCCAAAATTGCACGACATTACAGATCCAACAACAGAATCTCCAGATCTAAAATACCCAAATGAGATCTTACCAAATCAATAAAAATAAAGAAAAACAGGGCAAGGACAAATTGGTAACTACGTAAACGTAAATTGGCAATGTAAAAGTAAGGTCAAATGAGATCAACTCACCATGGCCTTGGTCTTGGAATAGAAAGATCCGATAAAGTTGGGCGTGTCCTCCTCCTTGAACCCGACGCCCGAACCGAGCTGATGACCCGCATCGTACTCGAAAATGCAACCCGTCGCGTAGTTAACGAGGACCAGCCCGCGCTCCCTGCACACGTCAGCAAGGGTCAAGGTGCCGACCACGTTGGTGCGGATGGTCTCGACCTTATGGGATTCGCACCAGTCGACGTTGGGGCGGCCGGTGACACCGGCGGCGTTGAAGACGTGGGTGGGCTTGATGGCGGCGATGTCGGCCTCGAGCGAGGCGCGGCTCTCGAGGCGGCCGGAGCCGTACTCGTAGGCTATGGATTGGGCCTCGCAGAGCTTGCCGAGGAGGCCACCTATCCAGCCCGTCCTGCCGTAGATCAGAAACTTGAGCGGCTTCTCGGCGCCGTTGGATGGAAAACCCATGGCGAGGAGAGAGAGGAAGAGGTGTTTGAGATTTGGATCTAAGAAGAAGAAGAATGAAAGGAAGAAATGGAAGGGTGTGTTTGTTGTTGTGAGGAGGAAGGAAGCGAAGAGCGTGTATTGTATATAGGAATTATATAAGTGACAAGGGAGACGAGAGACGGAGTGGCCGAGTGCGAGTGTTTCGGAACACTGATGGTATCTTTAATTCTCTGCCTGAACAAAGGAGGTGGGTTAGGATGAGGGTGACCTCACACCCTATACCATGGACTTCACCCCTCTTTTTTCTTCCTTTTTCTGGATTTTGGGTTCGGATCGCGGTGGCGGATTGTCAGTCGTTAGATATACGTACATTTTATTGTTAGGCTTCGAAAACGAGATTTGAACTTTTGTCGTGGATATAAAGGTACTAGAAGTGTTTCATTACCGAAAAGATCAGTTCCTATTTGGACAAATTTATTGTGAGTGGTAATTTTGGTAGTTATCTAATATTTTGTCTTTTAACCCTGAATTTGAGTTTTACTTATTTAGACATTTTAGCCATGAGGGTCTCTATATTTTAACCAAATTTTAACTAAAATAACTAAAAAGCTATTATAGCAAACTACTTAAAAATATATATATATTTCCTACAACAATGTTCTCTATTTTGACTAAGCTCTAATATTTTATTATTTCTTAAAATTTAAATGTTTGAGTAACTAAAATTAAAAGTTCATTAAAAAATGAAAGAGTAAGAGGTGAGAGAGAGGGTCGTGGGCCTAGGGAGAGAGAGGAAGTAATGGAGAACCATCAATTTCTCTCTCCTTCTCTAGTAGAGAGCCACCAAACTCAAATAGGGAGTTCTGCAAAATGGAGAGCCATATAGCAAGTATGATGGAGTTCCGTTCTGCCCTCATTCTAGCCAAAATGGCTAAAGATGAGAGTATAACAACTCTACTAGAGACAATGGCAGACCTACGAAGGGGCTCGATTGAGCTTTAGCCCAGTGCTAGTTTTGTAGTTTAGTATTAATTGTACAACAAAATTCATAGCAATTAAATATTAACCCACTTATCTTTTAGAATTCAGCCCATCCTAACCACCCTCATCAGATTATTTTCTTCTACCCAATGAAATGATACCATATTTTCTATAATATATATAGAATCCTACCATTGAGGCACATTGATGAAGTTAATTTCTTATTTGGTCTTCATTAGTTGATGGATTGTTGTCCTTTCATTTTCACTAATTGAAAGAACACCTGTAAAATGCCAATCGGGTTATTGTTGGGTAAGTTTGAATTAGCAAGGGAAGTGACAATATTAATATGTGATTCCATGAAGTACATAAAAGGAAAAAAAGAAATTACAATAATAAAGAGACAAAATAGATAAAATTAAGACACTGAATTGACTCATATTCCTATTTCCTAGTATTTGCATATCATAATTCCAGTGGGATTTATAAGAAAAAGAAATTCAAGTGACACGATTTGAATCCTACCACATGTTTTCCATGATGCCCCTAAATTAAGTAAATTTTATCATTTAAGCATCAAGCTTCATGGAGATTGTGAGCAAGCGTCCCCTCTACATGTTCTAATTAATTAAAGTGTATTAATTCTTGCTTGCTTTTCTTTTCTTTTTCTGGCAATACTTTCACTTTCTTTTATTCTTATCCCTAGATCCAAGCCCTTCCAACATTTCCATAGAACCTTAAAATGTAAGCTATATTGTCAATTTGGTATAATTCAAACTCACAAGCATTTCTAAGTTTTCAAAAGTGATTGAGATAATAAAAAATAAAAAATTTGCTCTTCTTAGTGAAACTAAATGAAATATTTAGTAGATTCTCTTTGGTTTTGCTCTTTTTCGTTCATTGTGGGATTTTAGTAGGGAAAATTATAACCACTCGGCTCCTACATGAATTATAGACTATGTTACTCTTTAGCACCGTAAAAATCATGATTTTGTTCCAATGTGTTTTGCATGCGATCTTTCAAAATGAGAGTATCAATATTTTGGATGCTAAAAATACCCTTCAAAAGGGTCACATGCGAATCACGCATAAATTTTTGGAGGAAAATGGCAAATTGACACAATTCATTTGCAAGCATTAAATTGCAACAAAGCCATAATTCTGGTGGCATTGGTCTAAAATTTCCATGACCAAACTATATAACCCAAATTAGTTGTGGTGGTTATATAAGATCATGGCAGGAATCAGGATGATGCTTGATGCAGCTGCAGAACACTGTTAATAAACCCGTATATGGTAGTGAAGTGAGATACGAATCTCTTGTCCAAACGAATGGGTGGTTTGAGTAAGAACGTCCCTTTAGCTCAACACTAGTGTTAATCGTGTGACAGCGAAAGAAAAGCTTTGTAGGACCCATGTTTCCATCTTCCACATTTACTCGTGATATGCGGTTCTATTTCTTGACTCTCCTTCACAATCGCATTTGGAATCAAAACTACAAATTCCTCCTTTGGTCTAGTGGTATTCCTTTTTCCAATGTTGAAAGATGTCCAAAGTTCGACCCTACCCCCAACACTCAGAAAATAACTCACATTTTGCCGTCAATCTTAGCTCATGTGGCAGGCTGGGTGGATGAAAGAGATATCGTAGGGTCGATTTCGCTCGAGAAAAAAAGGAAAAAGGAAAAATTATACTTGGACATGATTAAACAGCCATCAATTTGACCATGGTGTATTGGAAAGTTGGTAAACTTAACTGTAGCAGTAGAAGCTAGTGATTGAGAAATAGAAAAAAGGAGAGGTTTTGAGTATATGCGCCTTCATGCAGCATTCAACAAAACAAACAAAATATATTCACAGCACTTGTAGGTTCAAATCCTGGCTTTTGGTGAGTAAGAAAAAAAAATGAAAAAAAAAAGTGTGAAATTGGATCAAGCCGTATGACCAGGAATTGAGGCAGAAGCATACTTTTCACTTGGACTTAAAACTGTACTGAAAGCCATTGTGAATATGTAGGTGTTGATGAATTGGATCAGATGGTGAGATTTTCTTGGATGGCTGTAAATGCCCCCAGTATGTTGCCACCAACATCTGGAAATGTTTCACAGCCAGGAAGTGCCTTCACCTTGCCTGTTTGATCAACTTCAACTGGATATTTTAGGAGGTGACTCTTCATTTCTGTAATCTCATCGGCTGCATATTGCCTCCAGTTCTGCTCACTCAAAGACCGTACCCGTCTCATGCATTCGATGCTCTCTGGTTGCTTGAAACATTCTTCAAGAGATCCAATGTGCTCTGCCCACAGTGACATTCTATATCCATATATCTGCAATCGCACAAACATATCAAATTATTACATACTTTTTCTTGTCGCCTATCATTTCCATATGCATGATTCATGAATGATGACCTGTTCCTATGTTTTGGTTGAAAATTGTTAAGAATGGCATATAATTCTGTAATGCTGCAGAAAATTCTCTCAGCCATCTTTCGACTTTCAGGAATCATTTACAAAATGCATTGGCAACCTCTAGCAATATGATTACAATAATCTCTGCATTGGGAATTATCAATTGTGATACCTTGAAGCAAACTAAGAAAACTAAGCACCAAACATATTTTGACTTGAAGAAACAAGTATTAGAGACTTTTCAAGCACTGATAAAGAAGAAAGCAACCTTGCAGTTATTGCTGCTACTGAACACAAATTTAGGACTAAATTCAATGAAATCTGACTACTTTTTTTTCTTTTTTTTGGCCAGAGAAATTTGGATATTCAGACAACCTAAGTTTTGGTCGAAAATTGTTAAGAATGGTATATCATTTCTCTCAAGCTCTTAAACTTTCAGGAATCATTTACAACACATAAATCCACAGGAAACCTCTAGTAATATGAATACAATAATCTTTAACTTGCCAGGCTTACCTGTCCATGTGGACTTGAGCGTTTGCTAGCCCAGGTATGCTGAGGCTGATATGCCCCCATTGCTATTTCAGTATCTCGGGTACCTTCCATGGATCGCTGATTGATATTTGCAGATCCCAAGATGACATACTCATCGTCCACTATCATTCCTTTGGAATGGACGTAGATCATAAAGCGTCGGTACTTCCGAGTGAGTGCCTGGATTACAGAAAACCAAAAGAAACAATTGAGGCACATTGGAACACATAGCTTCTGGAAAAGGGAAAGCTAAATATCAACTCAAGAGAAATGTCAGGGGAGATACTTGAGGAGCGTTTGCTTCTTTTTTGTTTGCCTTTGCAGCAGAGTTGTCTTCACCACTTGGCGTCTCACGATTCCCAAGGCAAAAGAAATTCAAGTAGTCTTGTGGACAATACTTATTGTCAAGTCCAACCTCCTTTAGAGCTTTGTAAATCATTTCATACATCATTTGCATTGTTTTATGCTGCAGTAATAGAAAAATAGCAGGTGAAAAACATGCAACAATAAACTCACAAATAGTGCCACATTGTTAGTTTCATCTGAATAATGGTCAAAACAAATTGCCTTGAAAATAAATTTGGATAATTTGAGATAAATTTGGATTCCAGACGTACTTCATGAGGGCAAAAGAGAAAAACTTGATGCAAAAGAAGGGGGTCTGCATAAATGATCTTTGTTTATTACAGCCCAACAAGCTTCATATGATATGCTAGAACTCTAATTAGTCTCAACTCAAGCCAACATTGCTTAAGACACCTATAAGTACTTTTTAAAATAGTAATCAGATTACCTGCCAAAAGAGAATTCGTTGAATAGGAGTGCTTGTAGGAACACCTTCTGGCCACATGGGGATAACAATGTATACACAAAATCTCTCATTTGCTTTGATTTTATTTACGATTTTAAGAGCAATTTCCATTGGTATTAAATTGTTTGCACCTGCAGAAAAATGCCTTATCACTGATGTCTCTATGACAAACAATAAATCACATGGAAAGACGATATAAGTTTAGGATCCGATTTAACATATGCCACGTGTATTGCTTTATCATCCAAAATTTGATTATTTCCCCCTAATTTCTTGTTCAGAGTTAAGGAGAGCTTATTACATTATTTCCTCAACATAATTCCAATGCTACGTGCTTGCACTAAGTGGGAAGGGAAAAAGGGAACACTGAAATGTTTAATGAACCACCTAAATTCATTTCATGTTCACCTGCTTCAAAGGTCAGAGTTCTCACCTAAATCATTGTATAAGTTCCAATTATATGATGACCCAAGGAAGTACTGGTTCTCTATGTAAATAAAATGTTGAGCTGCACGGATTGCCTTGACATATGCTGCATGTATACTCATGTCTATCAGCTCATGCTTCCCACAAACCAGGTTCTGTTACAGAATGCAGACATATGGTGAACCATCAGAATTAAGTTTGTGAGATATTTTATGTTTGTGCAAAGAAGTTAAAAGCCAAACATCTCACCATGCTTGCAGCATACTTTGAGTCCTTCGGAAATCCTTTCACGGAATTGGAATCAATTGAACGGAAAACCTTCAATTGTGAGCAAATGGTTAACTGTATTTTAAACTCATACCCAAAAAAAGAAAGAAAAAAACCCTCAGATATAGCTGGCTGACATCCAATATACCTGAACATCCCAAGCTTCTAGATCATCTCCACTCAGGCAAGGAACATCCGCTATCCCAATAATTTCAGGAATTCTCTCAATCCTGAGTAATGCATCATCATGTGGTGTTTTCAGTTTCTGAAGACCGTGTGGTTTTGAAGCCTTCAACCAACGCTCCTCAAAATTGGTGAGGACGTCATACGCTGCTGGACCATCAATTTTACTGTGCAAATCATGCCATGGCTGCCTTGGACAACCAACAGCACGCTCCTGTTGTGTACCCAAAAAAAAAAATTGCGGTTTAAAAGGTGAAGTGGGGAAAACTCTACATTATTACACTATTTGAAATTGATTCATCAAGGTGAACTTTTCATGAGAGCTCTGCCACGGAACTGGTAAACCAGTAACAACAAAGAATTGCCTGCTCCTTATAGGATCACAAAAGTATGAGAAACTTTTGAAGAAAGAGTGAGCATGTAGTTCATTAATAACTATTGAATATTCTCTTTCATGTTTCATAAGAAAAGTGCTTATAGACTTTCAATATTGCATTTTGTGTCCATCATCTAATGATGGACGCAGTCATTATTCAGCATCTCATACCAAGCATTACATGTTACATTTGGCATTTAACCTGGAAACTGCTTTGATGCCTGTATGTTTTGCCAATCATAACATTTTCTAGCCACCATTATTACAGTAACAGAATCATAGAACTATACATGACCCTTGTCAAACTAGACAGCCTAAACAAGAAGAGTACACATTTTAGATGAATGGAAACACTATAACCAACAACAAAGTAGAAAACTAATACAATGGTTACCGAGAAAGTAGGGTTACGACAGTCATCTTTGTGCAGAGTCTTCATACTCCTAAAGATAGAATGCTCTGGAGTGTCATAGCGCCCCATGCATAAATCAAGACCTCCAACAAATGCAATGATCTTTCTTTTAGAATGGCCAGCATCAGCATCCACAAGCACTGTTTTCTGATGATGGGTATAGATTGTTCCAGCTTCCTGTAACCAAAGACAAAATTTGAAAGGTTCAAGGAAAGCACTAACTCAGAACATTATGCATGTAAATTACAAACAAATAAATAGATAGTGACCGACAATTATACATGTGAAGAGTTTCTTTCATCTAATAAGTATCTGAACAGCACATGACAAGATAAATCAATCTCAGTTATGCCAAAAATATTTCCTTTTGGTTTTAACAAGGATGCCCTCAGAATTCCAGGACTTGTGAAAAAGAAAAATTCTTTGCGCATGCTAGCCAGAAACAAATGATTTAGCAGCATAAGTAGTCAGTCATAGACCATTTGACATAAGCTTAGAGCTAGTCAGCCATACGAGATATCAGTTCTTGTTTCTGAAGTCAGTGATACTACGAACATGTCAAGAAATCTAAAAAAGAAACACTGATTCCTAGTCCTCAAACAGATTGCAGGTGGAACTTCTATTCTGGTTTCAATCAAGAGCATGAAGATTTTCTTTTGGTCATCTAAAACAATTTGAAGAAGGATAGTTGAAGCATTTCCGCTGCAGAACCAAATACAATTTCTTAGTATAAGTGAATCAAATGCAATACTCCCACTAATGTGATGTCCAACATTAGGAATATCAAGTGAGACAAAAGCGATTGGTCCCATTGGGCCATTTGGACTTTCCATAACTCATTTCACCCTCTTCTTTTTCCCAATACCAGGTTCATTTAATAGTGCAATTTGATAAGTAATTGAAACTTTTTAGCACCAAATGAGAAGAAAAAAAACAAGGACAATGCCTCCTTTCTCAACTTCCATCATAAATGCAGGGATTGTTTTATCCAACCTGCTTTTTGACCCAGCTACCCTTTACAGCAGATCGAGGGCAAAGTAGCACTTGGACTGAAGAGTGCTTGAAGAAACGCCTAGTCTCCTCATCATAAGTTTGCATGACCCCTTCCTACACATTACATAGTCAATGATATCAGGTGAAAGAAGACAGTTATTGACGGACTTGAGCAGGTAAAAGATACTGAAGTGACAAATAAAAACAGAATTGGATAATCATGTACAACAAACTATTAGTTTTCTCAAGCATTTATTCAAGCTACACTTGGTGTTAACCAGATGAAGCGCATAGCCTTTGTGTCTTGTAGATGTGTTAAGAAGATAATGAGACGAAATTTTAAATTACAAGGCACGAAAGGAAATATGACTGCAGAAAACAAGCAACATTTTCGCCAACTAGCTTGGTGCTTCATAAAGAATCGTATCTTAAATAAAATATTAAAATTTGAAGTGAAGGATTTTATCTAAGAACAGACACAAACTATGTTCTATTTTTGAGATTTCATGAATCTTAAGATGTTTGATCACCTTTATGTCGTGTAATCAGGAAGTAGAACTAAGAATAGACTCAGTAAAACGTCAAGTCAGTTTCAGCACCATATAGAAGAAAGGTTGCATTATTTCTCTGCTCTCCTAAAGCTATAAGTTGCAATCAATATTCTTGAGCCCTAAGACAGGAATATATCAGATTTGCAAAGAAGTTGTTGGAGCTTCAACATTGGGCCAATTATAACTTGTTCAATAGAAGGGTAAAACTCATAAAGCATCCTAATATGCAAGAAAAGTAAAATGAGGTTATGTGAACCAAAATTATATTGTAGTACAAAATAGCAGAATAATATATTTCTAATCTCCTGAGGCCTTACCGTTTTATATCCCAAAATGCTCCTTGAAGTTGGATCATCCCAAACAAGAAGCAGCACCCTCACACCTTCCTGTGATTTGGTCTTAAGAAGATCCCCTAACATGTAATCTGTTGTCTCATCTTTATTCCGGACCAATCTAACCTTGTGGTACACTGACCACCCAGTAATGTATATCAAACGGCGGGCCTGACTTATTGCATCAAACATGTCTTGCCAACAATTCCCCTGCTCATACTGAACCCTGCCATCAAGCTCCAGATTGGGAAGGCAACCATCATGAACATGGGCATCTTGATAGAGAGTAACTCTACCACCTCTCCTAAGAGGAAAGTAAGTACCAGGGACCCCTTGATGATCAGGGTCTGAGCCTACTCCCTGATTATAAAAGGTCAAATTTTCAATTGGGGTATATTGTATTGATAGAGTCAAAGTAGCTCCAGGCTTACATATTTTCCCGTTGGAATTAAGGATTGGAAAGGTTCCCTCAACTTTCATGCCAGAAACTAATCGTTCAACTGGGATTCCTACAGCACCTATGATCTGGGAGCCCACAACATCACTGTCTTTCACAACAAAATGGACTTCTGAAGCATAATGGGCAACAGGAACATCAAAATGCTGCTCCCAAACTGGGTTTTCGCTATTACTGATCACAAAAGTCCTCCCAACTACAGCACCTGCTACTGATATTGTCACATATGGATCACTGGTTATTTCATCAGATGTTTTCCCTTCACTTTTGCTGCTAAGTCTGCTAGGCAATCTTAAAAACACGTCTCCGAGAGTCTTGTGAAGCATATCCATATTAGGAAGCTTTTTGGCCTTCATGACCCAAATAGCTAAGTTACCATGTAAAAGAGACACCTTCAGAGAGCCGTTGGCTGCCTGAAATGGCAGAACTTGTTGACCCTGGCCATGTTCTGAGCCTCCAAATGATAACGATTCAGTATAAACAGGATAAGCCATACAAGAATACTTCTCAGTTGTCACCTCCAAAACAAAAAAATTAGAACTTGATGAAATGACACAGAACCACTGACAGAAGAATATCAAACAAACTCCACCAACTAAATTGCTACCCAAAAGCCAATAACAGGTTTCAAAATCATAAAAGGGTAACTACCCAATTCACAAAGACCCCCTATTTCTTGTTGCTCGACACCAAAGAAAGAATTGGCACTAAAATGAATCTGGCTTGGCTTATTCAAGGTAGTGGGAAGGAAAACTAGCCAAATGGGCTATATTCATCTGGTGGAAGAAATAGGCCAGAACTGAAATTAGGGGTTTAAGGGTAGGCAGAAATAATATGATGGGCTGCTCTGAATGAGTAAAAGAAGGTAGGCTTTGAAAGTGAAATAAGGAAGAGAGAACAATAAAATATATGTGGTAGTAGGTGAATGGGTATGAAGAAGAAGAAGAAGAAGAAGAAGACGAAGATTTTCCCATTATTAAACGCAAAAATGTGGACCCAAATGAATAATCAACGCAAAATTCCCAAATAGGAGGCAGTGATACAGCTGAAACAAAGCGTTGAAAAACAAAGAAGGATTGAGAAGACATCGGGTATTCTTCCTTGACATGCTTGGAAAGTTCCATAAGCTGGAGAAATGTTTTCAGATTGATTGTGAAGTTTATTTTTGTTTCCTTTTCTCACTGCCGTTCTTCTCGTCAAACGAAAATCAACACCTCGTCGGCTAAAGGAAGGCAGGCTAAAACGCGAAGCTGTCGCTGGCTTTTAGGCGCGTGTTTTATAATTATCAGTTTTTTTAATGACATTTAGACCGTTATGTCCGTGGCTTTGTTCTTTATTTATTGGATCCATCTTTAGTGTTCATAAGCTGTCACAAGTTTTTAGGTACCAAAGACATTGGTTGTAATGGTGGGCCTGATCTGATCCCAGAGTTTTTAACCAGTATTGTACACCCTATGATTCCGTTGCCGATTCCCTTGCAACTTGTTGGCTTTGTGTAGCATATCTTATGTTGGAATGACGATCGGATCAATGCTAAAAGCTCGTCCCTTTATAACTTATTGACTTTGAGCTACAACATCGTTAAAATTAATACATTGATTACAAAATTTTAATCATAACTAAAATTTGCAATCGGAAAGAGTTCTTGTGTCGTATTATTTCTCTAATAGAGGCTAGAGCACTATGGGCCTACTATGGGAACTAGATGCAAGGCACTGAACCACCTCTTCCATGCAAGGCCTCCTACCACTCTCGCTCGCGGTACAACTCAGCCCAATTTTCAAAATACGAACCACTTCCTCCGAGTTAACTCGGTCTCCCATCCTCTCATCCACAACCCTCCCTATCTCTCCCTTCTCAAACATCTCCCGCGCAAACCCCAAAAGACCCTCCTCTTTCCTTCCCGCCACAGTTTCCAAAACCAACATCCCAAACCCGAACACATCACCCTTGCTGCCCCGACCCGACCCTGGCAGAAAGAAGTCCAACCCGTAATCTCCAAGGACAGGTCGGTAATTTACATCCAGGAAAACGCTGCTTGCCTTCAAATTTCCATGAGCGAGCTGCTTGGAATGGAGGAAGCTCAAACCCTGTGCTATGTCCTTGACGAGCTTGAGCCGCCACGTCCATGGCAGCGCTCCAATCCCGAACAGCCACCTGTCCAAGCTTCCGTTCGGATAATGATCGTAGACGATCATGGCCTCTCTACCGTCACAGCACCACCCGCGTATGTTGGGTAGATTCGGGTGACTCGCCCGAGTTATTTGATCGCCGAGTCTTTTCGTAACTCGGGGGGAACTCAATAACTGAGTCGAGAACCGCTTCACTGCGACCTGGCACCCATTCACAAGCTTCCCTCTGTACAAAACGGACGTGCTGCCTCCTCTACAGTCGGTGGCCAAGACTTGGGCTTTGTCAAAACGCCGCGTTGAGATGTAGAGCTCTGCAAATGTGAAACGGTGAGGACTGATTGGAAGCATTGGCCTTTGTTTTGTGTCGAAGAACAAAAGTGCATCCGAGGTGTTTGTTTTCATGCGGCTGAAGTAAAAACTGAGCAAAGCCACTGAGCTCAAGACTAGCAGAGCGACAAAGATTAAGAAACTGCTTGGTGGGTTTGTGTGGGGTGTGGTGGAGTACTTGGAGACTAGGTGCGCTACATTTCTGTGGCAAATTTTGGTGGATGGGACGTGAAGAGAAGCTTGTACTGTGGATGAAAAGTTCCATGAAAGTATATTGTGGATTGAATTTTGTGATGAATTTCCAGTGGAAGCAGAGAACCCTACGAACATGTACTCTTGAAGAAATGGAGAGAGGTTTAGAGGTGAAGACAATATGGGTTTTGAGGGAATTGGGTTGCCATCTAAACCCAAGTGGATGTTGATGTGTTTATGATTGCCATCATAGGTGATCCACGCTCTGTGGACTTTGCTATTGTGGAGGGAAATATTAGCTTCTGACAAATTAGCGGTTTTGAATGAGACTGCGGCCCCAAGGTTGATGCCAATGTGATCATCATTGGGGTCGCCAAATTGCGGATCGTGGTTAGTGTCAAACTCGACTGCAAACACCTTGTAATGGTTGCATGCATCGTTGAGGATTCCGAGCCAGGGGCCCGGTCGTCCTACGGTGAACTCATCGGGGGAAATGACAAAGGCGAGGCCATTGCCCCCGCGAGTTGCCATGGAGTTAGTGGTGAATTGGAAGGAGAATGTGGTCTCGAAAGAAGCTGGGGTTAGTGTTAACGGGTCGAAGAGGCGTATAGGAGAGGAGTAAATGGCCCTGCCTACTTGGTATGTAGGCTGATCAGCTTGTGATGATGATGAATGGGGTATTTGAATCACACCCTTCTCTTCTGAGGCTCTTGCATTGCCAAGGAATTTTAGTTGAGGAAAATTGGTTCCAAGGCTTGAAGTTGTGAGAAAATTTGGGAAGTGAAGGTGTTTGGTGACATTTGTGAAAGGCCCCTTTGGGTGATGTGTGAAGGAAAATCTATGTGCCTGAAGAAGTTGGGGTTGCTGTACAAGATGCACAATTGAGCCTAAAATCAATAGCCACCATAAGCACGGTGGAGAATCCATTTGATGAAGGGTGAATGTTGGGGAAGCTCAATTTGATGTTTGCCCTATTTATAGTGTAGGTGGGTGCCTTTTTTTCTGGCTAAGAAAATGTTAAAAGTACATTGCTACTGTAGATTTCAATGGTGGCCACAAAGCTTAATTCCATGCAACGTGTAGCATTTGCATAGATAGCGCTACAAACTCAATATTTCCCCTTTGAAGCATATCACTGTTTGATTGTCCTCCAATAGAAGATGTTTGAGAATCCAATTAAAATCAAGTAATCACCCTCCAAAGGCATCCACATACGTCTATGGCGGCTGACCTACTCTTTCCATGCCACCTTGAGACATGACATAAGGCCTTAAAACGTTTTAAAGGTAGGTAGCACTCAGTACCTTTAAAAAAGATAAGAAAAAGTTTTCAACCCAAATGGAATAGTACATACCATGCACCTTATGCTTGCTTTTGTTTTAAGGATTAATGTTGTTTGAAAATGTTTCTGTGTAAACCCTCTCCTCTAATCGCTTGTACTAAAAATAATAATAGTAATAATGTAGTTCATGTTACATATTTCGACTCTCCATATAACATTAACATTGATGCCATCTTCAATGAAATTTTGAATAGTCACTTATATTGAACATTGATACCATCTCCATACATAACTTAATATATTGAACAGTCACTTATATGATGTGAGGCAATTTGATCCCGGACAAATTGATAACAAATATTTGGTGAATAGGATTAGTTCCTTGCTCTTCAATTTTTATGGAAATAGTCATTCCAGATTTTCTTAGAAGTATGCAATGCATAACACAATCTGTTCCATCATATAACACCATACATAATTCTCGATCATCTTCTAGCTAAGCTTTTGGTGCATATTGCTTCTTCATTTATTAAGTTTTGATGCTTAACTTTTGTGCAGAGTGCTTGTTATCTTGTACAAGATTAGTGGAGCACTAGTTGTCCTTTTTTTCGCATTTTAAATGAACTCTTATCTTGCAAGTTGCAACTTATAAAGAGAAGAAAATATAAATATATCTTGATATCTTTTGGTGATCGTACGGATCACAAAATATGAAGCAATTTTACTGGCTTTGAAATTGCAGTGAGTACATGCGCATGCGCATATATATTGTATAATAGAAGTGCTTCAAATGAAATTTACTTGCAATGCTCAAATTTTGTTTTGTTGTAATAGCTTTTGAATTCAATACATTACACTTCCAAATTCCAACTGGCAGAATGTGAGAGTTCTGTAACTTTTTAGGTTTGAAGCATAAGTAGAGGAGAAGTCTTGAACGGGTTTATGCACGTCCCTCTCCTTGCATTCTGGTCACGCGATCAATGAATGTGAGACGGCATACATTGTTTATAGAGCTACTGTCTATTTTATGAGAACACATTCATTAGTTTTTTATTTACCAGGCAATGCTGCCCTTTTTTCAGTTTGTGAACATCTTTCTGTATATGCAGAGTCAGATAATTTGACAAGTTGTAGCTGACAACCCAATTCAAGGCTTGCCATGCTGCAAATAATTCAACAGAGCATTTATATTTGTGAAATTCAAAATGTTGTTAGAAATGTTGCAACAATTTTACAGTAACAGATCAACCAGTCTACATTTGTAAGTGGTAATGGGAAGCAACTCAGAAGTAAATGAAATATAATACATAAAGATCAATCAAGTACCATTACCCTATTGAAAACATGAATTTATACAACCCCACATGGTAAGCTATTAGTTGGCCAGTTGTTACTCTCTGTAGCTGAGTTTTGCAAACATCTAATCCCTTCAATGCTTTTCAAAAGTATTGGGTAGATCCTATGTATACTCCGCCAAGGTCACAAAACAGCCATATATCAGACATAAACGTGAGTTCATCATTTACTGTTTCTCCAGTTAACAAACAAGATCGATCAGTTCGTCTATCTTTTGCGCTTCGACTTTAAAGAGGTCACTGATTGAGAGTTGCTGTGCCAGTTCCGCTTCCTTTGATTGATGAACCAGTTGTTTATTTGCTTGAGCTGCAGCCCTGTTTCCTCCACAAGTTTTGCCTTGTCATCTTCCTGTATATATATTATATGCAGCTTTCATTGTTAATGGCATCACAAATATCAATAAATTGTAGAAGCAGTAAACAGAGCTGGAGGTAGAGATCTTGTTACCACAGAAACTTGTTTTTATATCTTTCCTATTTTGTCTCTAAAGTGCAACAAAATCATAAATGAATGGTGAACTTGTTTGCTTACAGTTGGGTAGGGCCACTTTGAGTGTTGCTGCCACCAATTCTTCAACACTGTAGTTGTGTCACCAGGAAGTTTGCCTGCCCTTCTTTTTCTTAAAATCTCCTCCCTCACATCTTCAATTCTTGACTTAAAGCCCTGTAAATTTAAACAATGTAAGTTTGTTATGGTTATACTGTCACATGGCAGCAATGTCTACCAAAATGTAGTAGAATTAGCATTCAATATAACTTCAGCAATTATGTGACTTTTATGTATGTGCAATATTTACCTGCTTCAGCTCAATCTTCAATTCCTGGCGAACTCTTTCCATTAGCGATCTCTCCGATTCAGTTGGGAGTAGGGGGCCAAATCCCATCATGTCATGCCCTTCGCCGCCGGATTGATCCAAAGAGAAATCCATCTGCATGTCATCCTCATCATCTGACATTGTTGCACCTGAACCTTCACCCAGACTTACTCCTGAAAAGATGAAACAGAGGAAATTAAGCCTCCAAACTCAGCTACTAATTCTACTTTGTGTTGGCAAGGAAAAGACATAACTGAATGCCTTCCTCTACTTCAGCTTAATTTTCCATTCTATTTTGCTTTGTATCACAACATGTTCACAAAGTATTTACTCGTTACTCAACGCTCGTTTGGGACTGCTTCTTTAGGAAGTACTTCTGCTCATAAGCGCTTCTAGCAAAAGCGCTTTTGTTATAAAAATCTTGAATTTTCATAAAAAATTAAAGTAAAGCACAGAGCAGGTGCTTTTCCTAGAGAAGCACTTTTAGTTATCAAAAAGCGTTTTTGGCCCTTCCAGAAGCACTCCCAAACAGGCCCATTTCCCTATTATAAAATTGTACAAAAATAACTCTTATACAAACAGCTGGGCCTATAAGCAACAATTTTATTTTTTTTGTCAAAGGTAGGAAGGGAGAGGAGGATTTACTCACACACTGGTGCCTAAGGGTTTCGAACTTAAGATTATTGATCTTAGGCCAAATGTACTTTTCCACTATGTCAAGACCAACTTTGTTTTGGTACCTGAATTTTGAACCAAAGTTGGGCATAGTTGGGCTCAGTCCTGCCCAAAGGTCTGGTCAACAGCTCTTAGAAATGAGTCAAAGTTCCAAGTCTGATTTAAATGCATGAAATAAGTGATGAGCAGCATACCATTTTCTCTTTTCCCTTATAGCAAAATTTGATTTTAGATTCTACCATTTCCACATCCAACTTAAAATCACTTGAGCTGGAGCTTCTTCTTTTTTCTTTTTTTGCCAGACTTGAGCTGGAGTTCATTGAGCATGAATATATAGGTTTTTAGTTGGTATGTACACCTCCTCTGTAAAGACTTTTCATGTGTATCTATCTATAGAAAAATTATTGGGGTATTTATAAGTTTTATTATATAATTTTGTTTTACAGATTAATCTGACATTAACAGTTAAATATTTATGGTATTCAGAAGGCACTATCACGAGTATTTTTAAAATATTTGAACCTTGGGAAGAAAAAAACAAGACTCTCATCCTAATTACCTATAAAACAAAAGGAAAATGACCATTAATGTGTAAAGGTATTATAGGTCTTTTTCAATCACCTCATATTTGTGACAAATAATACTAGGAATTAACAGACCCTAGAAGACTATAGAAGGCATAAATATCAGGTCTATGCATGCATGGCAAGAATTGAACAAAGAACAACAACCACTATGATCCATATGGGTGTAGGGTTCACTTTTTTTTGTTGGGGTGGGGTGGGGGGTGTCGTCGGTTGCACCTTATAACTAATAAAATTTGAATCCAACAAACCTATATCCAAATTGTCTTAAACAAACATAATATACTCGTTAATTTGGTATATTACACTAATATTTTGTCCTTTCTCTGTGTTTGGCACTAATTTGTCTCCTTCTTTACCTTGATGTCAAGCACAACTCTTTCCCTTTCTCTTTGTTTTTTTATTTTCTTTTTTCATTCTCTCTTTTTTTCTTGGATAGAAAACAAAATACTAGTCAAAATTGTTCAAGAAAAAAAAAAAGATACTAGTCAAAATATGATATGAATGCCACTTGAAGTTCACGTACATGTCTTACGAGACCATGCTAAGTTCTACCTACTACTTTAGCTTGGGCGAAAAAATGAAAGCCACAATTAGATAATATGCTACCAATAACCATATGGTTTAGTAAAATCAATCTCCACCTCCTTATATTTGGCAACAAGTTTAAAGTTGGCTTGTTTGTAGTAAACGGGCAATTACTTAACCAAGTCACCAAACTTTTTTTCAAATTTTAGTTACAAAAATAATGTGGCAAGGAGATGATGTCTCTAGCAATACTCTTGTCCAACTTTTTACGATTTATTTTGATGTCTCTATCAATACTCTTATCCAACATTTTCTATATATACGTACTGAGACCGGAAATGGAACACAAAGAACTCAAGTGTATGATGAATACTCTTAAACACTTGAGCTACAAGTCAAGTGTCTTTCTTTATTAATTTGTATTCTACTTTTTTGTTCGGTGTCTCTAACCCTAACAACCAATTAATGAGGATATAAATCCACACCCAAAAAAAATAAAATTAATGAGGGCTTTTTCATATCATTAATTAATTTATTGAAGTTTCACAATTCTTAATTTTATTATTTTGGTATTTTAGTATAGTGAAAAGACCTTGTACCTGTTTCAGCTAGCAGCTAGCTAGCAGACCCCAATCAATCCAACCCTCACATAATCATTTATCATTCATAAATGATATGAGTGGTTACATGCACTTAGTTATACTCCACCACCAAATCACCAACTCACCAAACTTCCAAGATATGGATAAGCCAACAAACAAGTTCATGCATTCTATTTCCCAAAGAAAATAACAATAATAATAATGACTACAATCCTCAGAATTAAAAGTATTCTTGAACCCATTAATATTTTGCTACAACAAATGACCTACTAGTGTAGTAATTTGGAGCAAATACTACTCCTAGGAAAGATTATGGGTTCGAGTCCTAACATCTGTAATGTGTGTGTGAGTTTAATATGTTATCGACCCTTTCAATAAGAAAGTTCTTCAAAAAAAATATAATCTCCTGCAATAATTGAAAGGTCTTCAAAAAAAATATAATCTCCTGCAATTTTATTAGTTGGTCATGGAGACTTATTAGGGTGCACCCTCTCCTCCCTCAGGACCTTCCCTGAGTTTGAATCCATTAACCAACCGCTACCCAACTCTAATCTTTGATTATTTTTCTTGTAGACCCTACCCACTTCTTTCAAGGACAGTACTCAAACTTCCAGAACCCCAACATAGCTGGCCGTTCTTATCTTTTTTGCCTACCAAACGCATTAAAACACAAGCAATTTCATCCCCAATGACTAAAATAAACAAATATTAACAGTTCTAATGCACCAGGTGTGATGAAAAAGCTTAGATATTCATGTCAAACACGAAATATGGCATATGGTATATAATAAAAGTACGAAATAAAATTATTAAAATCTACAGTAAGAAAGGTGAAGTTCTTTTCAGATGAGATGGAGCATATACCAGTGAGAGCCTGCAAGTTGCTTTCAATTTCACGGCAGGCCATGACAGCTTCCACGGCATGGACTCTGACATGTTGCTGAAGTTGTTCTTTGAAAGAGCACAGAACGATCAAATATTGTGCCTGCAGAATCAAACCCCATACATAATAAAAGTCAATACAAGAGTAAATTAACTAAAATTTATTAATAAATAAAAAGACTAACCAAGAAGTTATCAAGCTCTTGGCGCTCATGGGGAGAGACTGAGTGGCCATGCTGCTGCTGAGAGGCATAAGAGCGCAGCAGATGGTGTGACTGAGAGAGCTGCGCGTCTATGAGTGGCAGCTGATCGATTGGCGTGGCCACTCGGAGGCATGACACGTGGGCAGACAGAAGCTGCTCATAGAGAGGGTGTGTGGCTATCTCAGCCTTGAGTTGGCGATTATGGTGCTCATGATGACCATCGCCGCTGCTTAAACCTCCACCACCCATCATGCCCAAACCAGATTCTTGCATTTTCTAGAGGGCCAAATTTAAACCAGTTTGTGATTTGGAGAAATGGGTTTTGTTTGAGGAAGCTATGATTTCAAAAGGGCAAGTGAGAGTTGGGTTTTGAGGACCACAAAGAAAGTAGAGACCCCTTGTGTTTGAGAATGGATTTTTATGCCATTATGGTGTATGCCAGTGTGAGAGAGAGAGAGAGAGAAAGGGGGAGAGAGAAGGAGAGAAAGTTGCAAACTTGATAGCTTTGACAGTTTTATCGTTAATGGTGTAAGAAAGATGCCGTGGAGAGCCGTATATCGGGATCTGAGACACACAACTTTCTGCACCACGTCTGAGAAAAACAAAGATTTTACATACACAGAGATAGAGAAAGGAAAATTTGAAAGCTTTTTGTGAGGTTTTCAATGGTTTTGTTTTGTTTTGGTTTTGATGCCTCTTGAGAAAAGAGTTTTTAGCTTAGAGAGGGACTGACTGAGGATGAAAATAGAAACAGGGGGCAATAGAATGAATCATTACCATGAAAGCGGTTGGAAGAGAGCTCATAAAAAGAAACAAGATAAAGCTGCTTGCTTCTGTGGCCTGACAATTTGATTGCTTATTTCTTTTCTGTGTTTTCTCTTGTTTTTATAATTTCCTCTGATTTTGTTTTTCTGGGGTCCTAATTCAACTTAAAGCTTACTCAGAGAAAAAGGGTTTTGATTGGGGAGGTTAAGTATTTAATTCTAACTAATCTTGGTGTATCAGGAATGAATTTTGATTAGGTATGCAATAATTCTTGGGTTATCAGCATAAAAAAATAAAAAAGGATTCTTTTATCCCTTTTAAAATGACAAATTAGACTTCAACCATCTATTTAAAGACCTGATTTGGACACTTCACAGTCTCATAAATGGAGCACTCCTTTCTATATGAATTCATTGTTGACTAACACTACAGTCTATCTACATACATGTAGCTTTCTAGCCATAGCTCTTGTGGTCACACTGTATAAAGTTGTATAACAATTACTTTATTCACTTTTCTTGGGTCAGGGTGGATAAATAATAAATAAGCATATCAATATATGATACTCAATTCCAGCCATATATGATTTCTTCATCTCATAAATGCTACCCCATGTTAAAAATGTAAGCTTCCATCATCATACACATGCATTAACGGTTAGAGTTCACTCATGTACCTGTTGACGACTGATCGTAGTATAATGACAAACAGAATCAAGATGTCATTTTATCAACGCGCACGTAGGTAATTCTTGACCGTTATAATGCATTGTGAATTACCGCAAATACGTCAACCAACTACATAGGTAGGGTGCTCCATTAATCAAAATATTGGCACCGTATTTTTGGTACCAAACCCTTACATTTTCTATATGTTTTGTTATTTAAGAAAGTCGGCTGAGGGTTGAGCTGTCACTGTTGCCGTCTCCTTTGGCTGGTGTATTATGCTTTTCAATACCAATTTGATTATTATTAATAATATTATTTTTCACATTTTGTCAAATATTTTGATTATTGTTGGGACAAAAAGAACTGAAGAAAAACTAAAGGCACCCGTTTGTTGGGAAACAAAATGACCCACCACCAAACCAAACCAACTGTTATACAGAATCTACGTGGCACAAAACTACTGGGCCCACAAGATGGATTCCCACCCGTTCGATGTGGTGTGGTTGCCTTCATTTGGAGAGTATGTCTATGTTTGTGTTTTTTTTTTTCTTTGGTGGTTGAGGATGCCAATTTTATTTTTTCCCCTTTTGGTTGGAGGGATGCATGAATTTAAATTGTACCAAATTCAAAAACAATAATTGATGTTTTTTTTTCCTGAAAAATAATATAAAATACATGTTAAAATATAATATTTTTAGGACCTTCTAAGTTCATTTCACATATAAATCTCAAAATTGTACCTATATATAAAAATAAATAAAATAAAAACCTATGTTTATTAAGCATTTAGGATATGTCTTTAGGAATATGTTTGATGTGTCCTAAGTGGTGGTGATTGGGGCATTATGAGGAACAATATGGGTCCCACACAAGAAAAACAATTGTTGAGGAGGGATTTGCACAACTCAAGAATAGAACCTAAAACACTAACAATATAAATATTCTTCCTATGTTCCTTTTGTTTTACGTGTGAATTTTGCGTAGGTAGCAAGGAAGCATTTTATCTATATGTAAAGGCTTTCAACCAACCACTCATTTCTAGTAATTTTGCAATATAAAAAACTTTATATCACAAATTTTAGAGAAAATTAAAACATTTGTATCACCAGCACCCTCTTATTCCTTTCCTAAGAATCTAAGGTGCTTTGTTAGTGGAGTACGTATAACTCAGTTGGTTGAGTTCTTCCACCTCCTCCCATGTGGGTAGAGGTTCAAAGCCCCTAAGCCGCCTCCCCCAATTGCTTGTACTGAAAAGAAAACAAAATTTCAATCCCTTGTTTTTAAAGTAAAACATTTATTTAAAAGAATTTTGAAAATGCATATATGCATGCATGCATCACAAACAATTTATTTTTTCCTGTGTTAATGCCAATAAATGAAAAAAAAATATAGCTCAAGATCATTATCAATGAACAATTTAAAAGTATTAATAAGAATTTTATATAAATAAATGGTTTGAATAAGTTGTACCAACCTCATATTGCATCACAAGATAGATGATGGTACGAAGCACCTTCAATCGTTTCAATCATGTGTTCCACAAGAATCCGAAAGGTAAAAGAAATGGGAGTCGTGTATTAATTTTTCAATTCTTTTTGTATACATAAAAACCAACATTTTCGTTATATAATAAATAAATTAACAAACCATTGGATTCTGCTTAAATCAAGTCAAAGGCTGAGATTTGATATTTGAGAAAATAAAAGGAGAGGATCCTCTTCTATTGAATGAGAAAAGTCGGTTGGTCAGTCTAACCACGAATTTTCACGAACCTACTCATAAACCAAATAAGTACACAAATTTCCAAATAAGTAATCATATTGTCAAATAAGTACACAAATTTTCCAAAAACCCTCAACCTATCTGTCTATGTTCAAATTCTTTATATATCAATTGATGACTCCATTACAAATATAGCTCTAATTCAACCCATTTTTTGCAATATATGAACGAACCCGTATGAAGGCCGGTCGATAACTTGAAAGTCAAGGAAAAACCGATCACTCTCTACCGTCTTTTTTTTTTTCTTTCTTTCTTCTTTTTTTTTCGTCTTTGGCATTAGTGGTGGTGGTGGTGGTGGTGGTGGGCAAAGAAGTAGTAGTGGGTTCAACATTCACAGCTGTAACTTTGTCGTCTTCTTATCTCCTACGCTATATACTATACTATTGGGATTTGAAGATTAGAGTGGTCCTCAATCTTTCCTATACAATTATTTTATTAAATTAAAAAATAAAAATAAAAACAGAGTGACAGAGAGATGTATAAGAAAAAAGTGTGGTCCTGCCAGACCAGAACAAAACTTGAGAGAGAGAGATGATCGGGTGTGGTCGCTATCAATTGGTCCCCCCAACATGCTTGACCTTTTCTTTTTCTTTTTCCGCTGATGATCTTTTTCAGTGTCTGTCTCTGGTGATTCAGCCAAAATTGCTCCCAAAGTCAATCCACTGGCTAATCATCTTCAATTAACCAAAGAATCATTATATACATGCATGGATAATGAAATTTATTGTTGTGGCATATTAATTTTGACGATAAATTTTAGGTTGAAAGATTCTAGGAAAATGTCCCATCTTTGTGCGGAGATAAGTTTTGACTATTTACGCAATATAGATGCTATATGTATCAACGGTCAAGAATTACCTACATGTGTGTTTGGTAATAATCATATATGGCATTGTGGTTTTTAGAATTAGGATCTCTAATGATGTCTTAGACGGAGGACTCATGCGATTAAGAATTTTCATGGTTGCCCATTGGTTGTATCAATAATCAAGAATTACCGTTTATACATTATAAATACTATATGTATCAACGGTCAAGAATTACCTATATCTATGTTTAGGAATGATTCAAGCATTGTAGTTTTTAGGGTTAAGATCACTGTTGATGACTTAGACTGAGGAGTAATGTGATTAAGAATTTTCAGGGTTGCCCATTGGTTGGTTGATGTGGATGTGGATCCTACGAGGAACAAATTGGCTCCATTGTTGGTTGGGGCCCTCTCTAGCTTGAGAAAATTGACACACCTTCCACAATTATGTTGCGGCCAAGGCTTAGTAGTGGGTAGAGAAGAGAAGGGCTTTGACACGTTTCTGCTCACCAAAGAATATCTTTTGGTGTAATAAAACTAGCGACATATATTACACTTTCAAATGCACATTGGCTGATCCAATAAGCGCATATTAATTACTCTAATCTAATGATTGATGGGAAGCATATTGTTTTATACTACAGTCAGTAATGTTTGGTGATTGGAATTGGGTAGCATTATGAGGTGGGTTGGATCACATTGGATTGGAAAATAAAACAATAAACCAATGATGATGTGTTTAATACTACACATGATTGAGCTGCAAAATTAACTAAAATATGCTAGGCATAGCAAGGTTAGACATAACCCAATTCCTGTTGTTTTAAGACACTAACTAGGATTATGGATTCTGCCCACCAAACATGTCATTTAACTAGAATGGGTATATGACTAAATATCTCTTATAATAACATGATATATGTCATTGCTCAATACCATAGCCACCACCCCTTGGACCGAAAAAGTATAAATAAATAAAAGCAAACTATACATTTATTTTGTTCAATCATATGTGCTCTAACATTTTCTGGGTAGCACTCAAGAATGTGCGTTTACATTTCTTTTTCTTTTTTTTCCCATGCCTCTTTATTACTATTTATGTTTTTCACTTCTGCCACATTAGAAGTTTAGAACCATACAAAATAGCCAAATGGTATATTATTCTGTGATTCATGCATGCTCAAGGTCCAAGGATTGATGTAAGAAACTTAGCAGCAAAGATGAAAATGCATGGAGTTTTTTTCTTTCTTTTTTTTCGAAATGGGGCTTGTATGGCCGAAGTGGACATCATTAAGATTGATAGGAAAACATGCTACATCAGTTCAGAATGTTAGTGAACAAGAGCCCATCACTATAATCCTGTACTTCTCTGAACCTCTCCAATGAGTTAGAACAGGGACCTCATTCATCTTCCTACCTCGAGAAAAATCAATCCGGTTAGAACAACTGCCATGCTGGGAGGAGGACCGGCGGAAGATTGTTTATATACTCGACTCTATTTACAGTCAAAAAAACTTTCATCTAAAAATCACATAGAACGCTGGACTGGGTCGATTAACGTCATGAAATAAATCGGGGCCAAGACACAAATTCCATTTACAGTACAAATTTATAACTGCTTGCTGTCGGAATTCACATCAAAGTACACTTTTCCTTGGATTTTGCTTCAGGTCTTGCAGATGAGGACGTTGGCGTTCTGGGATTGCTTCTTGTCCCCTGCAAAATTTCATTTGTTTGCTCTTAGATTCAAATGCAGTCCTTCATAAAGAAAAATCTAAATAAATCCATCATTTGCTATGATTGATTGCAGGATCCAATTGTAAAGCAAAGATAAATGAAATTTAACCCCAAAAAAAGTATGCAGTCAGTCGACTTGTCATTGTAAAAAGCAAATGTTTTTACGTCAGAAAATGCTATGAAACGATCAACTAAAAGAAATATTAAAAATGCATTATCCAAACTACTGTTCTGCGGTAACTCTGAACAAGACAAAGT